TCAGTGTTTTTTATGAATTAATTCATGACATATTGTTAGGTTTAGTTTGTGTTATGTCAGTGTTTTTTATGAATTAATTCATGACATATTGTTAGATTTAGTTTGTGTTTTTCTTCATTATTTCTTTTTAGATTCTCGTTATCATGTTATTATTTTTTTACTTTTTTGAGTGATTTGTTAGATTCCTCATTTTCATATTTTGTGCTTTGACCTGGTAGTTAATTTAGTAGCTACTTAATTAATTGATACTCTATTTGAGGTCTCTCTCTCGTTATTTTGTTGGTCACTTCAAGAACAGTAATATAGAAATTTATGCCTCCTTGTGATCTCATTTGAATCATGCTTTTCTTTCAAAAAAAAATCCATCAACCTCACTTACAAGAAAAAATAAGCTTGAAATTAAAACGGAGTAGATCTGTTCTATGCTACCCTCTAATTTGGTGGGCTTAATTTGTTTCTCAGTGTCTAATTTCTTCAATTCCTTCTTCTAAACTTGTAGGTACGCAATTCCTTTAATTATACTCTCTTTGAAGTATGAAATGAAAAAGTATATACCTCTTTACATCCAAAGAAATTAAAAAAATACTTTTTAGATGTAATAGTCTTTGTGCCATAGATTTTTGTTGGTTGTTTTTGAAATTATTTAGTACTTTAAAACTGAGCTATTATAAATTGAATTTAATTAAAATATTTTTTAATTGAAATTTTATTGAAATGATGTAAATTTTAATTCCCTTCTTTCATATTCTCATTTTCAAAATTTTTAAGCAAATTGCTAGATTCCTTATTGTCATATTGTTTAATTTTACCTAATTATTTTGTAGCTATTTAATTGATAATTTTGTGAGGTATCTTTTCTTTTAAGTAGTTCAAGTAAATTAATATAGAAGTGTATATCTCGTAATGATCATATTTGAATCATGTTTTTTCTTTTAGAAAATACCCATCAATCAAACCTCCTCTTTATCAGAAAGATTAGGTTTGCAATTGCAGTCAAGAACAACTGTTGCACGCTACTTGTAATCTGCTTGGCCCAATTTGTTTGTGTCCAATTTCTTGAATATCTTCTTCTAGACCTGCAGGTACGCAACTCCTTTTGTCATATTCTTTTCAGGCATAAAATGAAAGTAAAATTATCTTTTCTGCATGGACTGCAAAAAAAAAATGTCTTTCAAGTATTAAAACTATCAGAATACGATTAATAAAACTTCATTCCATATTAATTCATTAATAACGTTTTAGTGGTACAGTTGAGGAACAAAAATTCATTCCATATTAATTCATTTATAACGTTTTAGTGGTACAGTTGAGGAACTGAACTCATGAAATAAAAAGGTATAAAATACAAAAACAAGTGCAGTCTAAGGTACAAATAATTTGCGCATCTCAATCTGTAGACATAGGATCTCCTACTCTTAAGTTTCTAATTCATCAACTATTAAT